TATATATGTGCATAGTGGTGAGCACGTTTATCATCTTGTGCTCATCCCCACCTGCTATTCACCGATGCTGGTTAAGCAACAGCCGGGTGACGAGGAAGGGACGAGTTGGGTCGGTCTAATTACTTATGCATTTTAATTACTTCCGCTGAACTTGAATAAGTCTGTTGCATGTTATATTTTGTGCAAACTATTTTCGAACTTTGTGTGTTGGTTTTGAAACTTATGAACCTTTGTTGTTTTGGGATTGATTCTTGGTTATTTATTTCATGAGTTTATGTTGGTTAATGAAAACCGATTGTGAAAACCGGGTAATGAATCCCCGTAGGCCCAGATAAGACTTGGGATATGAAAAATGTTAGTTAACACCCACTAAATTTTCGAAAATGATTTTGAAAATTTTATACTGGTTTTTTGGAAAATCCGGAATTTCTGTAAAATGAAAGTGGGGTGTTACAGTTTGGTATCAGAGCCAGTCTGCGTTTCTGTAGACTGGTTTATATGTGAGTATGTGTTTAGATCTCGTAATATGACCACTCGTCTCCGTCACTCCGCGCTGCTTAAGGTATGTTTTGTTTAAGTATTAATGAACATACTTGTTATGTGATTGATGCACTTGTAGTAATGAAACTACTCGTGATGAACTTGTGATTTGGGGCTTAGGATCTATCCACCTTGATTTAATCGGACTCTAGTGTTTGTTGGAGAACTCTAGACTTCTGAAATTATGATTATCTTGTTCGTTTTGTGCTAACCTTGTCCGACTTATTCGATGTAGAATGCTTTCGATATCCCATGTGCCTGTTTTTGCTTTATGTGATAAAGGTGCTACCCATTCGTTTATCTCTTCTCGTTGTTTAGAGGCCTTATCTATTAGCATGGTGAATCCTTGTGATCCTCTCGAGGTTAGTCTAGCCTCGGGAAAACCTATATCTCTGATTCGGTGGTTCGCAATCTTCCTATCTGTATTGGTGGTCGAGTTCTGGAGGCCGATGCGTATGTTATTGATATGCGAGACTTCGACGTGATCTTAGGCATGGACTGGCTCACCCGTTACCAAGCCGACATCCGGTGCCAGGAGCGTGAAGTCACCCTCCATCCCGTTTCCGATCAGCCCGTTGTGTTCTTTGGGGTGAGTTCGAGGACTGTGCCTCGGGTCATCTCTTCTATGCAAGCTAGGAAGAGCCTTTCCAAGGGTAGCTGTCAAGGCTATCTTGTTTCTATGGTATCCGACGTCGTTGACAAGCGGGTGCCCGAGCGAGTATCTATTGTTTGCGAGTACCTAGACGTCTTTCCTGATGACTTACCCGGAGGACCGCCAGACCGCCAGGTGGAGTTCACTATTGACCTAATTCCCGGAGCCGGCCCCATTTCTAAGGCCCCTTATCGTATGGCGCCGAAGGAGCTTCAAGAGCTCAAGGCCAAGATTCAGGAGTTGCTCAAGCTCGGTTTCATTCGTCCGAGTGTTTCGCCGTGGCGTTCGCCCGTCCTATTCGTGAAGAAGAAAGACGGATCTATGCGCATGTGCATTGACTATCGGGAGTTGAATGTCCTTACAGTCAAGAACAAGTACCCCCTTCCCCGTATCGAGGACCTTTTCGACCAGCTGAGGGGAGCCAGCGTCTTCTCAAAGATTGACTTGCGTTCTGGCTATCATCAGCTGAAGATCCGAGAGTCGGACATTTCTAAGACTGCTTTCCGTACTCGCTATAGCCACTATGAGTTCGTAGTCATGCCCTTCGGACTCAGTAATGCCCCGGCCGTCTTCATGGACCTTATGAATAGGGTCTTTCATCCTTTTCTAGATCAATTCGTCATTGTTTTCATCGACGACATTCTGGTCTATTCCCGAGATATCGATCAGCACAAGGAGCATCTAAGGATTGTGCTGGAGACCCTTCGCCGCGAGAAGTTGTATGCTAAGTTCTCGAAGTG